CCGTGTAATACGTTTATATGTATATATATATATATATATTTTTTTTTTCGGGGGGTTGGGGGGGGGGGGGGTGATCTTTAAAGGAGATATAACGTCACGGACGGATCTAACGTTACTGGCATTTGTAATGTCATGGATAGACGTAAAAGCCCCGGGTAGATGCAACAGGTAAAACGGTGCGAGATATATAACTTCAAGGAGAGATGTACGTCACAGACATATTTAACGTCACGGACAGAACAGATGATCGTTGGAAGATCACGGATATACTGTATGTAACGTCACGGACAGTTATATGATGTCACGGATAGATTTAACGTCACGGAAAGATATAACGTCACGAATATGTGTAACTTCGTGAATTCGTGTAACGTCATGGACAGATGTAAAGTAGCGGATAGACAAAACGACACGGATATTTCGTGAGGTCACTGACGGACCGGACATGGTTTCCCGCTAAATTTAGCGTGCAATGCTTCCGTTGAAGCGTGCTCACGTGACCACGTGTGCGTGACTCCTGCGAACGGACTTTCCGGTCTCAGAAGCTTGACGTGTACGAGTCAGAATTTTTGTGTTCGCCGCTCGAGGTTGACCCGCACCGTATGCGAAAGACCAGTTCTTACGATGTTTCTTTGGGCTGAAGTAGCTTAAGCTTTCCCCTTGACCCTGATAAGTCCACTGCTTGATTAGCGTCAAGCAACGAAAGAAAGAAGGCGAGAATAAACGATCAAGCAAACGACGCGAAGAGGACATGGCGTTCGTCCCGATTGTTACGACCAGTACTCACGAACGTTCGGTCATCATCCCTGAGTCCCCCCCGTCTGTCGAAGAATGGACGGAGGAACGTTAAACGATGCAAACGGAAGCGAAAGCGGACCAATGACATCCCGACTAATTATGTGGGCTAGACCACGAACGCCGAATTCTTCCAGAGTCTGCGGCCACTGACTTTGAAAGACGGGGGTGGGGTATTCATCTTCAAGAAAAATAACAAAAAACGATGGAAAAAGTAAAACAGAGAAACGCCAAAAGCAAAATACTGTAAAAAAAAGAGTGAAGAGAACGGATCGTGACAATTTACCACAGAACACAATGGTCTTCGGACAATATAAACGTAAAATTCTAGAAAAAAAAAAAAAGTTGTCGCTAATGTATGTAAACGCAAAGCAGAATAAACGGGGGAAAAAAGAAAGTTTAATTAATGAACGGATGTGCGTGCTCATGGCGATGGCACATGAGTGCTGGGGAAATTATTTGCGCGCGTGTGACTGTTGATAACGTCACGTAACAAGATGTAACTCGTTTTTGTTATTATCGTGCCCATCCTGACAACCAGGACAAACGTGGGTATTGTCATTCACGCGTTTGTCCATTGGTCGTCCATGTGATAATAATCGTGCTATTAAGCAATCGATTTATTGGATTGAAATCAGATTTCGTTTAGTCAAAGTGTAATAATTAGGTTTAAATCACTGTAGTTAGAAAAAGGCGTTTTTTTTATTTTTTTTTATCACTGCTTGTATTTTTAAACATGACAGACTGATTGATCAAACCGTCCGATCACTGAAAACAATACTGAAAAATGAATTACTATATATTTAGACTTTCTAAGTGCAGTTTAAATAACTTTTTTGTTGATTCATTGATGCACCATACTGTAACGAAATCAGCGTATCTCTTTATTTAAATAAAAAGCTGTATATAATTTTTCTTTCGCATTTTGATTTGTTTGCTGTAGGATGTTACGTAACTGACAAATGAAGTGGAATGTTGAAAAAAAGCTCAGCACTCTGATTTGCTCCAAAGATTTGTCCGTATTCAACCTGTTTTAAATTTATTTTTCTTGTTTTTTTTTATATATATTTATACAAAACAAACGCAGATAGAAAGCATCAAATGATAGACACACAGTAAATAAAAAAACATAATTCGGATATTTTTTTCTGCGCAAGAGGTTCGATTTAAATCATCACAGTAAGACCGGTGTGATTTAAATTATAAATTGTGATATAAATCACGAACGTCCTGGTCGCGGGGATTGGACCCAGGACCCCTGGGTTCTAGCGTGAGCTTTCGCTCCCCGTGCTTTGAGCTGGGCTACGTTCACACACGCACGCTCAACCATTCGTCATCTCGTCAAGAGTTTTTCTATCTTGACGAGATAGGAAAATATATATACAGTGTGCTTCTTTCTACTTGAAACATAGAGTTTAAAAACAGGTGGGTGACCCTCACATGGGTGCTGTCTTCACCGTGTATTTAAATGGCTCGGCGAACGTGACGCGGGAAAATATATATTCGTCACGATCCGTCGGCCAATTCACTAAACTTTCCTCGTGAAGTTTTTTTTAAGTGTTGTTTTATTGGTTGTGTTCCCTCTGCAGTTTTAAAGTCAATCGCTAATAAATGGCGAGGCCCCTTTATACAATTTGCAAAAAGGCAAGGAACTTTTAGATATTTATCCCCAAGTTTTCGCATGTTGGCCGGCAGGTCAAAAAGTGCGGGCATAAAAGCTCGCCTGATTATTTAGGGTTTGCGGAGAAGAGTAACTGGGGCTCTTTGTCGTTATCTAGGCAGCGTCCAGTCGAAGCTTCCACCAAACACGCACTGCCGAGATAAAGAAGGGGTGACCGGCACGGGTACGTCACTTGCGTACGTTGATGACGAGGCGCGCTTCGCGCGCGCACTTTTTGAATTGCCGACAAACGTTCAAAAACGTATCTTTAAAAATCTGGCAGCTGATTGCCTTTTCGCAAATTGAATAAATTGGTCTAATCTTTATTAGGGATTGGCTTTAAAACTGCAACTGAAGCATGACTCTTAAAACGAATACTTAAAAATTTTATTAGGCAATTTGAACTAATTAGCCGATGGACCCTAAAGAATATTGCCCCGCAGGGCAATAACGGGCGGGTGTCAGGCGCGCCTAACGTCCACCGAGCTTTTTAAGTACACATTAATGTCGAGACCGGTTATAGCGAAATCAACGGGAATCGGAAATCACTTCGTTATATCCGCTATTTCGTTATAACCGACTTCGGTTGTAACGAAGTGCAAAAGGGAAAAGGAAATCGTGATCGCTTCGCTATATCCGCTATTTAGTTATAACCGACTTCGTTATAGCCGGTTTTGACAGTAATGACAACACCCATATAAGGGTAACCCACTTTTTTTCATTTGTTACATGTAAAAAAATAGTACCCTGTATATTTTACTGAAAGAGATATAAAAGCCTAAGTTCGCTCGAACTTTAACCACTGGACTGCTGTCCGTCGCATGCCGTGGGTTTATAGGTCGTTGTTAAATCGTCTACAGTGAAATCGCCCATACGTCTTAATGAGTCATATAATGTACAAAAGTACCACACTATCAAATATGTAATAGCAAATCAACTCTCGAGCTGGTTTATTAAGGCACGTCGAATAAACTGGAAGCCGTCGATCCGTCTCATCGCTGTATACGATCCTCAGTGTTGGGCGTAAAAAGGAACTGCCCTGTCTGTACAAATAATAAATAGTCGCTTTTTTTTATTAGAATTTTTACCACGGTGTTGCTGACGGTGACAAGGAGCTGCCGATTTGAAGTTCGTCCTCGCAACAGTATCTCTTCGCAGAACACGATGGCGCCTGCGTGGACTACCTTCTGCCTAGTGCCTAGTATCGTCACAATTTCTAATACAAACAGATCAGGTTTATTTGACACTCTTATCGCGCTTGAGTTGCTCTGTATTCGTTGGCTATTTGCTGGCATCGCGCAACGTTGTTTATTTTTTATATATAATTGTGTGCTGCGACTTTGAGAGGGCTCGCGACCGATTCATCGATGGCCACCGTGGCGATGGCTCGCGAAGCGGCTCGGGAAGTTGAAAAAGAAAATGCGAACTTGACTTCTCTGCTTTAGCGTCTCTCTATTAAACCAAAGTACGTGTCGCACCTCAACATCGAGCCGGATCTGAGGGTTGAAGTGTCTTTCTGCTCCGCCCTCAATTATTTAGAAACTGTGCCTCAACAAACAAGTTCTTATTAGTATCATCCCTGCAAATGATTTTTTTTTTACAATGGTTTCTCGTTTGGTTGATTTACTTTTACTATATTAATTACTAGCAGATAATATTCCAGCTCAAAATTCATGCATTAGTACTCGTGCACTTCAATTTAAAAGTTTGTAGCGTCGCGATAAAAGTCGATTTGGAGGAGGCAGGGGGAGGGGGGTTCAACGCACTATTTTTATATTTTTGGTGGGTCGCAAGGTAGCAGAGCTTGGGAAGAACTGCGTCTAAGCTCTTTTATGGCAACGCTAGTTTACCGTCTTCTAACCGAAGTAAAAAAAGGTTTCATAGATATGCCGCACCGTCTTTATTTGGAAAAGGCGCTAGTGGTCCACGCCAGTCGGTGCCATCTGACAATTCGAGGGACTGCAATTTAGTCACGTGCTGTCACGTAGTCGAAACAGTTTAGCACGAAGGGCGAAAGCTTGAATGCCCAGCTATACTTTTTGATGTAGTTTTTTATTCTGAGGATACCAAGGGCCCCGTCCCTGGGAGGGAAGGGGGGCTTGCCACTTCATTAAAAAACAAGTTGGTACGCCACTGGTTTGGAATGCACGTTGCAAAAGGACCGTGGATGCTCCCTGTCAGCACGCACTTAGAAGTCGCGCACCCAGCTATGGACGCCAGTGAATATTCCCGACCGGTGCATGCCCCATGCGTGAAAGCACGTACAGCATGCGCGTGAAGGCGATTTTGGCAGACTTGAAACTGCACGCGCTTCCTTACACGAACAGGAACATGGCGGTGGCTGCTGATGCTTTGTTTGCAATCACGCACGGCCTTTGGGTGCGACCATCTTGCTTCCGGTTTTGTTGTTACCCGTTTTGTTGTTACCCATGGTGGCCAGACTACCTTCTCGAGCGTGGCTGCTCGCAAACATGAATAGGATACAGTCGACAAATGAACTCCTTCTGAACTAATAAGAACGTATTTTTTTCTGTCTTTTTTAAAGGTTCCGGTTAGTAGTGACGACGAACCCCAGCGGTGAAACTCCCTTCTTGCACCTCGAGACCACGGGAAGACTGGATCGGGAGGCCAGGGACGCCTACACGCTCAACGTGTCCGCCAGCGACGGTGGCACACCGCCACGACTTGGCTACCTGCAGGTGAGCACAAGCACGCATGCACGTGTGGTGATCGGTGCATTCAACGGGAGGTAAAAAGGCTGCCTAGTCTACAGAGGTTTCCACTGTTTACAAAAATCGCAGTCCACATGCGCTAAACCACAGTTCAGCCAGCGCTCGCGCGCAGTAGCCGCCTGCCAGAAAGTGCGCGTGCATAACGTACAAATATAGCAATGAACGCGCCTTCAAACGCTTTTATGGAAAGGTGTATCCCGCAATAAAATCAAACCGTTTTGACCAATATAAATAATGGGAAGAACCCAAAACGTAAGGGCACCAAGTGGCCGCTGTAGTGTAGAGGCCAAAGCTGAGACCTCAAGATGGGAGGAGCTCCCATACCTGCTCCAGAAAAGAGGGAAAGCAGCGTCACGCCGCAAGGTGGTAGTGGTGGGGGGGGGGGGGGGGGGGGGGGGGGGGCGCCGGTTTGTGTTTTCTGGGTCGTACTGGTGTCTAGCTCCCCGTCGTCGCGACTCGATGTGTCAAGGAGACCTCCCCCACGTGGTTTCGTAATCTTTTTAAGCAAAGCCGCAAGCAAATCTCAATACATGACTTGGATGTGACGTCATTCGCAGCCCTGCCAGTATTTTTTTGTGCCGAGAGCGTTCGGTTCGCCGTGTTGGTTTCACACCGCACAAGTTGTAGTTCGAAGAAACTAGTGAGCATAAATAACGGTCAGTACCCAGCAATGGCGACTTTTGCAAACTGTTTTGTTTTGTTTTCTGAAGAGATGCATTGTTACTGAGAAGTTTCGGGGGCTGGGCGTCTGTCGAAGTCACTCACGCCAACCCCAGAAATCGGAGCTCACCAATCTTCGCGAAAGCGAGAATTTGTGAGCTATATAGCCAGTTGCCACTTAAGACCTTTAGGCACAGGAAAGGCAGGACGTGGCGAGCCTCGAGCACTTTATCTCCACAGCCAATGAGGACACCAAAGAAACAATTACATAAGCAAAAAGTGCGAACATAATAGGTTACGCTCTGCGTTTATTAAGCTGTGGGTGTCTACACAGAAGGAGCTCCGTCCCCAAATTCCACCCTAAATAAAGAACTAAACGATGTTTTACTCGGTCAAAAACATCGAATTCCTACTGTCCCAATAGCCGAGTTAGCGCGATCCGATTATGATGGCGCTTCATAGAGGGAGTGGAGACCATGCGGAGGCCTTCTCTCTAGGTGGTGTTGGCTGGGGGCCAACACCTTCTAAATTTTATGGGCTCCTTGTCACCGACTATCGAATTTCTTGATAGATCAGATTCAGCCCCTGGCATTGAGCACTAGCGAGGGTGACTGGTACCCTTACCGTTTCTGTGTGGACGGAGCTTTGCATTCCGTGGGCGCAACAGGTTCATAAATCTTAAGTTGCGACAGACTGTAGCTCTTTGCACTTCTGCAAGTGGGATGCTCGACTAAGAGGAAAAAAAAAAAGAAAACTCCTGTTATTTGAGAAAAAAACACGAACGCGAAGAAACCCGTTCAGTTTTCAAAAGTCAGCGCAGTTTTTGAAGCGATCTCTCTCGACCCCAGAGACGCCAGTAATTAAGAGTTAAGGCCAGTTCAGACACTTGCGTTTGAGTGCGTTTGACTGTGTTGCGTCGAAAACCGAAAGCGAGTCACCTGCACATCTGTGCTTCGTATGAAGCGTGGAATCCAGTTCAAGGAATCATCTGGGCACGCGATATAAGCAGCAGGGATGTCCTGGTTTCTCGCAGCCGCAACGCAGTCAAACTCAGTCAAACGCAACTGCCTGAACCAGGCTTTAGATTAGACTCGATGCACACTAATGCACGCTGTCCTTTCGCTGCGTCAATATACCACTTTCAAGAGTCAAAATCGCTTAGCGGCAGTCTCGAAAAATCCAATAATTTCGCAGTAATCGTGTTGATAGTAGAACAAAATTGCTTAACTTCTAGCACCCGCGACATGTGAATCGAAGGTGAAGGACCAAATTCTTAGAAGAAATACGCCACTTTCGGCTCTATGCTTTCGATGACGTTCGTTTTAACCGGTGCGAAGAAGCTACGCGTAATGTCCCCATAAAAGCAAGAACGTTGATTTGGGACATAGCCTCAAGTCTAGACAGGGCCCTTTGGCAGTGATCTACATTAATTTTACACATTTCTGTACAACTGAGAACAACTGGACAACAGAGAGAGTACTCGATCCTGGTATATCGTTTTCTTTACTGGGAATTTCTACTTGCTTATAGCAGTACGAATCGGTTTGACGGTGAGGAAAGCGCGGATCAGTCAGCCCTGGTTTGCCGATTACGGTAATGGGGAAAAGGCGACAATAAAATCACCGCGACAACCGTTAGCTGCGAGAAGTAATATCGAGTAATTGTATTGTGTGGTTGTTCAGAGAGCGGAAAGTTAGTCAGCCCCAGTGGGAGTCTGGTATCTTTACTAAGATGAGACATTTATCCACTGCGGTACCCCTGCTAGCCTATAGAGTCTTTAACGTGCATTAACGTCACCGGGTCCTAAGAAAGTAGCGCCATTGTCATCTCTGTCTCCGAGCCGGACAGAAACAGATACTAACACACAGACGACCAAACCTCGAGAGCTGGTTGGCTGATCGGAAGCGGGAAGGGATGGGGATGGAGCCCAGGACCAGTGGCTTAGCCAGGGGGAGGGCTTATGAGGCTTGAGCCCCCTTTCCTTCCCCCCTCCCCTTCCCCTCCCTCCGAAAAAACATTCCTGGCTAGCGCGGCGTAGCGAGAAATTGGCGTAGCGTGGCATAGCCATGAATTCTTTTCGAAGTGTGTGTGTGTCAGGGGGGGGGGGGGGGGGGGGGGAGGAGGGGGGGGAGGAATTCAGGTGGCCGAGATGTCCACGAATTGGGGTGCGTAGGGGGGGAAGGGCGTCAAAAAGCATGTGTATGTTAAAGGGTCGGCTGAATTTTGGAGGGGGGGGGGGGGGGGGGAGAGAGGGGGCTGAAGCCCAATAATCCTCCCCCCTGGCTACGCCACCACTCAGGATCCCTGGGGTCTGCAGCGCAAGCTTTCACTTCACGTATCCACGTACTCCGAGGTGCGGTGCGCTACAACATTCGGTCACCACTCCCCCGCAATATCGAGTCCAAAGGGTCAAAAGTATCCAAGTACACTATACACCTTCCTCTGCAGCTGGTCGGTGCTCAATGCTACGCGGCATACGAAATACGGTTAGCCCGGGTGGCTCGGTCGCTGCCATCGTTTTCTTTGCTGCGAATGCAACTAGTGCAGACATCTGAACCGACCTTCATAGTTCCCCTTCTACTCTGCCCACCGATGTTTTGTGCGATTGCGCTCTGCTAATAAAGCTACAGTCTCCGGAAGGTTACACAGTCTTCATGTGGCCTCCAGGATCACGGATATCGAGATTATTTTTCAATTTGGTGCATGTAGGCTGCAGAAAATATTGTTTAAAGCACCATTGAAGCCCCTTCTTCCCGGACGGTGACAGACCTTTCGGAATCTCCGCTCTCGCGCATCTTCAACACCTATCAAAGTAATGTACGCGCACTCTTCCAATTTTCAAAAAAAAAAAAAAAAGGTAAGAAAAAGACGTCTTTATACCCGTGGCCAGTGAGGGGGAATAATATACCCGGCTAGCTTGCAAGAGCACGCGCTGCCCACACAAGCGACACGCGCTTGGTGACCAAAAGATCCTTTCTTGCCTGCTAATGCTGCAATCTGATTGGCTGCGAAGCGATAATCAGATGCTAATGAAATCCTCAGGACTCGCCACGCCCCCATAAATGTAGAACTCCGAGGCCCATAACTTTCTTGCTCCACGCGGCTTGCACAAACGTCGCATCAGCGGCCATATGGGTGACCTTGCTGTTGAACGCGTTCCTTCTGCAGCATGCATTTTGCATCATCGAATGGCGATGACGTCATCGACAAATGACGTCATAGCACCGGCATAATGCGGTAACGTCACGTGCAAGCGGTGTATTCGAAGAATCAGACCCGAAGGTTCTCAACTCCGCAGGACACCTCCGCGCTGCAGGCGCTCGAATGACTTTGCAGCGCCATCCAAATCCTCGACATCACTGGTAGGGTAAACGCGTCAAGGTGCAAGGCCTCTACGCAAGACCATTTGTGCGAAAATTACCCAGCTGCAGTTGCGGCTAATAAAGCGCCGATTAACAACCCCCCCACCATGCTGTGGCCGGAACCAAAATGCGGTTGTGTTTTCCGGCCCTTCACCGCGTTGCGGATAAAAAAAAAAGCGAAAGTAGACTGGTTTAAACGACAACAGGAGCGAGGCATATGGCTTGGCGTTAGATACGGTTAGGCAGATGCTCGAAGCAACGCATAAAACTGCTAGAAACTTGTTTATCGAGTCCGCCGTCCATAAAATTGCTTCATGGACGACTGGCACAACACTGCTCGTCCTAAGTGGTTGATTCTATCCAGAAAACAAAAAATGCCGATGAAACCAGCGTATGCCCATGTAGTTCGGGGTTTACACGTTTTTTCGTGTTTTTATGTTGTTCTTTTTATCGTAATCTCTTGTTATTACGGGCGCCGTTCATATGGATGCCCCGCTATACACAGACAACATTTTCGGTGACGAGCTGGGTACCTAAGTACATTTTGGTCTCACCATTATGAACAACTCCATATTATCGACGCTTCTTGAAAAGGAGCGTTCACACTTCCAAGTCGCAGCTGTCGCGCGACAACTCTTGCGGCAAAAGCGACAGTCGCAAGTCGCGAAAGCGACCGGCTTGGAGCAGTCGCTTTCAGACGGAATTTTGCCACCGGTCGACGAGTCTCCCGGCGGCTGAACCAATCAGCGGCGCCTCGGAAATAAAAAATAATGCGCTTCAAGCTTTTTTTTTTTTTTTTTTTCTTTTACGTCCGGCACGCCGATCTTTTGTGGAAGAAGCAACCAACATATCCGTCCAATGTCTGGGTTGGCGGTAGCGTCCATGAGCACAGAGCCAGGGAGGTATCTGCAGCGGCCCTGGTCAGCGCTATCAAAGAATAGGTGTAGCAAGACGGCCCCGCGTGCAGAATCCCTGTCGCAAAAGCCCCGCGTCATTAGCCCCAAGTTTCTAAAGCCCCGCATTCAATTGCGACGTCGCAGATTTCCCGCGTGCTAAAAGCCCCGCCCTCACTGTCCCCGATCCAGCCTCTTCGCGCTTCAAACATCATTGTTCCATGCCTTAACCTAATAATTAATCTGTTGGGGACCTTAACCTAATCTGTTGGGGATGTACAAAGGCTATTTGAAGTGAAAGGAACAACACAACACATAGCTTGCATGCGACGTTATTCGCGGTATGACAGTATTTTATGCGCCGCAAGCGTTCGATTCGCCGTGTTAGTTGCTCACCGCAGAAGTTGTAGTTCGAAGAAACCAGTTGGTAGAAACAACCGTCCGTACCAAACAATGGCGACACTTGCAAACTATGTATCAGGTTATCTAGAATCACTGAAAAACTTATGATGACCTGCAAGTAGTCAATTGCGCAAATCTGCACAACCAGCATTGCACTCCGCTGTCATGGAGGGAGCTCAAACGCAGATTTAGAATGTACCTACCAAAATAAACTAAAATGCATTTGTTTTTAAACGACGTAAGTAAAATGGTATTGGTGTTTTGTGCAGTGATAAGTATGGAGACAGGAGCAGCTGGTTAACAGTTTTGATAGAACCCCCTTTGTCGGATCTGTGAACCCACGCCTGCTTCATTCATAGTCGACGAAAGTTTTGGTTCAATGCTTATTGTTAAAAGTCGTCACTTTAAATGTTTTGCCATGGGACCATTATTTTCTGCTTGTTTGCGCTTCCAACGTCGCAAAACGTGAAAATGCTTAGCGCACACCTGAGAAACGAGAAGTTTAATCCAGTTATTCCTTACTTGAGTCTCGGGCACGGAATGATTACGTTTCATAAGGTCGCGTGCACACTTACTTTCTCTTGTACCCGTGCCACACGGGCAACTCGAATGCCATTTACAACGAATGAAATTTGAGCAGACGGCCAATCAGCGCGCGACACTCCGAGCGTGGGGCGTTCCATGCGCGCGACAGATCGCGAGCCGATTCGTCGATCACACGAATGCCATTCGTTGTAAATGGCATTTGAGTTTCCCGTGTGGCACGGGTATTATTAGTTAGAAGCAGAATGCTCCACTGTCAGAATGAGGACCTGGCCACTTGACACGGGGGATTCGCGCCATGGGTTTCTAAAACTTGGGCTTTTGAAATTGGGGCAAAGGGGACGGGGCGTTCACCGCGGAGCATTTGAGACGGTGTTTTTGACATTGGGTGCTTTCGTGCTCCAACCCAAAGAATACCCGTTTATTTATAAAAGAAGCATTCGGGTATGCGCGAACGCCCGAAAAAGAATTCGGCCTGGCAGCAAATCCGTGCCACGTTTGGGCTTGACAGCTTCGGACTGCGACGCGGTATATAGCTCGAGCGAGCGCACGCCGATGTAGCAATTGTGCTTCTTTGTACGGTTCAGAGGAACTTAGGCCAACATAACGAATCTTTTTTTCCGTGCGGCAACGACGACGCATGTGTAGCTGCGAGACAACGAAAATGAAAGAGTAGCGAAACGTGAACCCGAGCTTTGGCGTGGAGGGCGGAATCGACGGCGGCTCCCGAGAGCTTCGAGGAGCGACTCGCCGGTAGCGGCCATGAGCGCAGGCAGTCAGTTCATAGAACGACGTTTCGTCGGCATATCGTTCCATCGACACGCGATGTTTCATCGACAGATTGCTTCCTTGACAAACTCTTTCATCGACAGCTGAGATTAGCTTCTTTTTTGTGTGTGTGTGTGTGTAATAAGCTGCATCAGACTGTTGCCGCGAAGCGGCGTGTACGGGTGGGTCAGGTGGGTTGACATTTTTTTTTTTTAATGAGCCGCCGCAGACTGCAGCCGCAAAGCCGCGTAAAGGGGGCGACCGGATGGGTCAAAAACGCACCCCAGTGATACATGCGCGACGAAACGTCCGCGTTCAATTCCCGTAACGAGTGTCGATGAAACGTTCGTGTCGGCGAAAAGTGTGTTCATGAAACGTGTGTCCACAAAAAGTTGTCCATGAAACGTGATTCCACGAAACGAGTTTCGACGAAATGATAAGGACCCGCCATGGAGGTCTCTGCGGCGGCTCTAATTAAAGTACCCATTTTCTCTTTTTTTTTTTTTTTTGTAACAAGCAGCACTTTATTTGAACGAGCGCCCGAAAAAGAACTCGGCCTGGCAGCAAATTCGTGGCTCTTGACTTGACAGGCCTGCGAAGCTCGAGTGAGTGCACGTCAATGTAGCGATTGTGCTTTCACTGTAGGGTACCGAAGGACCCCAAGTCGTCCTTTTGTGCCAAAAACGACGCACCTGAAAACGAAAATGGGGAAGCATGGAAACGCGAGTCCGAGCTGTAGGGTGAATGACGGAATCCATGGAGGCTCCATAAAACTCCGAAGGAGCGAATCGGCGGTATAGCCCATGGGAGCTTCTTGTACAAGGGACGAGGCAGCTGGAAGAGAATATGAGTAGGTGCCGGATTTATTGATCCTGACGCTTTCCCCCACACCCCTAATCATTCCATTCTTTTTTTTAATATTACAGGAAGATTCAGCAGCTCAAGAACACGGCGTCGGATATTTCATAGCACATGTACGAAGGAAGAATGTCACATTAACCACAGTTTATTGATTCGCAAATAGTCGACCTGCCATAGATTGCTCTAAAATTTGATTGAGTTTGGTCCCACACAAACCGCCCTCAATAAAGCTTCTTAAATCCAGCAAAGCATTTTATCGTTTCGGTGTCGTGTCACTCACTGCTCGTCTCATATAATAGGTTAACGAGTCACTGGCTTTTCGCAACGTTGTCGTGTAATTTTAAAATTGCTACGTCTTTATAAGCAGTTGTCGGAAGAGCTTTTCGTTTGATTGCCTGCTTACAACCAAAAGTGCGATCCTGGTAAAATTTAGGGGGTTACCCTGCTATGCTCTAGGCTTTATGCTTAAAGGTCTACTCTAACACGCTCGTAAAATCTTTCCGCCGAGAACTACTTTATGGCCGAACGTTTTCCTAACAATGACCACGCGCAATGAGGAGCGCAAGTTCGTCTGCTTCTTTGCAGGGGTTGTGGTGACGTCAGAACGCCGAGCTCTGATTGGCTCCGATTGGAAGGATAGTGAATAGACCTCAATGCTAGCTGCCTTAAGATCTACCCAATATTCTTCCAATCAGAACCAATCAGACCTCGGCGTTCGGATGTCTCCACAACCCCTGCAAAAGAAGCAGACGAACTTGCACCCCAGTCGACAAAGCGACCGCGGCTCGTGGACGTGTTACTTGGGTAATCAGCTATATTCATCAGTAAAAAAGAATACTAGCTTAATTCGTACGTTCTAAGCGTTATGGCTTCTGGTAAAACGCAAATGAGCCACTGTGATTCGCACTTATACCTGACGTGCGCCCCTCGCAGGTGAACGTGTCTGTGCTGGACGTGAACGACAACCCGCCCATGTTCGACCACAGCGACTACTTCGTCAGCATCAACGAAAGCCTGCCTGTGGGCGCCAGCATACTTCAAGTCCGGGCCACGGACGCCGACGCGGGCGTCAACTCCCAAGTCGCCTACTACCTCGACGCCCAAGGCGACTTCACCGTCGACGCAGACACTGGAATCCTGCGCACGGCGTCGGCCCGCCCGCCCCGCTGTCCCCGGATCCGCCCAGACTCGCCGCGAAGCTGCGTCTTCACCGTCTTCGCCCACGACCACGGCTCGCCCAGACAGGACGGCCGTGCGTACGTCACTGTAAGCCTCGTGGACGCCAACGACCACGAGCCGGTCATCCGGTTCAGGGTCTTCACCGCGCCGGACAGCTACGCGACGGTAGACGAGAACGCCCAGAACGGGTCCGTGGTAGCCGCCGTCAGCGTCATCGACCACGACGAGGGCCCAAACGGGGACACGGTCGTCCAAATCCACGGTGGCAACGAGCTGGGGCACTTTCGGCTCGAGAAGACGCCCAGCTTCGACATCGTTCGCGTCAACGGCGTACTAGACCGAGAACGTGTCAGCCGTTACAACCTTACGGTGACCGCAACGGATCGGGGTTCGCCGGCACGCTCGTCAACCGCGTACCTGCTCATCCTCGTCAATGACGTGAACGACCACGAGCCCGTCTTCGAGAAGGCGGATTACTCGGCGCTCCTCAGCGAGCTCTCGCCCGTAGGAAGCTTCGTGTCGGCCGTCACGGCCACAGACCGTGACACCGGCATCAACGCCCGACTCTCCTACTCCATCGCAGCCGGCAACGAGCGTCTCTGGTTCAAAATCGACGCCAACACCGGTCTGGTCACCACGGCACGCCCGCTGGACCGCGAGCTCCAAGACCTCGTGGAACTCAAGATCTCCGCCAAGGATGGCGGACCCAATCCTCGCTGGGCGCACGCCGTGTTGCGTGTGCAACTTCTGGACGAGAATGACGAAGCGCCTTCGTTCGCCCTGCAGCAGATCAAGGCGTCGCTTCCCGAAAACGCCGAACCTGGATCACTTGTGTCTGTTCTTTCGGCTTCTGACGGTGACCTCGGCACCAACGGGAGTGTCGTGTACGGTCTTGACCCTCAAGTGGAACTGTCCTACCCTGGTGTCTTTCATCTGGAACCCATCCATGGAAGGCTGAGCGTGCGGCGCAGCCTGGACCGTGAACTTCAGTCCAACTACAACGTCCTGGTCGTGGCCAAGGATCAAGGCAGTCCAGCGCGCTCTTCGACGGCCACCGTCCAAGTCTCCGTGATCGACGTGGACGACCATCGGCCACGGTTCTACCCGACGCAGTACTTTGTCGAGCTTGCCGGCGGCGCGGCGCCTGGGAGTTTTGTGTGCACTGTGGTGGCTACCGACGACGACGAAGGCAGCAACGCGCTCGTCTCCTACTCGATCCTTGGCGGTGCCCAGGGGAGATTCACCGTCAACGAGACGACGGGGCAGCTGAGCACCACGCAGGAACTCCGGCTCGAACAGCAGGCCCGCTACGAGATACAGGTGAGTTCACCTGGAATTTGCGTTAAACCTGTAGTGCGAACAAAGAAGTTTCAAGATTTAATCTGTTATATGACTGGCACCAGTTTCGGGTTTTGGCACTCCAATGACGGAAGGCTTTCACACGAGGAATGCGTCGCCGCTCAGCTGAAGCTCGGGTCTTTCCTGACTGAACACGGGTCTCAGTCGAACTCTGACGCAACACTGCATGGTGTTTAACCTGCGTTTCTATGCAACTTCACTCTACGATTGAAACAATTATTCGAGTATGGTTATTTTCTTTTGCACGCATGTTTTTCTCTAAAACACTAATGAGCTTTAATTTATTGAGTCGCCATCTTTGAGTTTGATCACAAAAAAGGCGCATGCTCCCTCAACGCCCTTGAGTGCAAACATGATATTAGGGTCAAGGACGATTATAATCTCTGGAGAAAGGGAACAAGGGGGATAAAGGACAAACAGAAATCTCCAAACGCAGCTAGGTGTTGTCCTTTGTCCCCCTTGTTCCCCTTCTCCAGAGATTATTATCGTCATTCTTGTCCAGTTCGTTTGCACCTTTGCAATAATCGCATTATTGTCACATTAGAGTTATCACGTTTAAAGTAGTCCGCAGTTCGCACTATAGAGCGAACGGTTATCATGATACACCAAAAAGTACTGCGGTAAATTAGGTGCAGGAAAGTCTATACATTCCAGCTCAAGTTTTGTGACGTCGCAATAAGGCAATGGCTCCGCGGAATGGGACATGTGCAGACACTTCGATATCTGAAATAACTGTTCTTTGCCCGTACGCAGTGTTTACAACCTTAGTGGACAAGCGATCTTGATGAGTTGGCGATATGACTTCTGAAAGTTGCACAAAGATGTGACTCAAGGCATATGCAGCCCCTGAAGGTACGAAATGAGTTGACGCTTAGACAATCTGCTTTCTTATGGGCGCCGCCATTTTTTCGCTTAGTGCAGAGCGGGCCCAATTGACGATCGTCGAAAATCCGACTTCCTGAACTTCAGGTAAGGTGTCGGAAAGCTCAGGCAATATCGTCTTGTTCTGCCGCCAACTTTTTTAACAATTATAGAGGACGGAAAACCGCCTCCTAACAACAATTTCAGAAAAAAAAACAAAAAAACTTGAGACAATGATTTTGAGCACCAAGACGGCTGAAGGGTCGTTACTCCAAAGCGCATTTGGTAGCTCTACATGGCACGGGCCATTTTCAAATGAAGCTAAGCTGATCACTCCAAAATCTCCTCTTCTATATTTACTGATGCAAAATAAACACCCTGATTCGTCTTTTGTTTTTTTTCAGCTATAGTTCAATGGCTTGTTTAGAATAATCGCACTTCCCCGCGAGGAATTCCCTGTCCTTGCTGGCCGCCCCTTCGGATCAGTCTTTTATGTGGACGGCTGCACTGTTTAGTTCCTCGCGATTTAGTAAGGCGTAGCTGGCCTCGCTGCATCGCTACAAAGAAGGCTCTTTGATCATGTTTTGTTTGTTTTTAGTATCTATCTACATATAATTTGTAACTTGCTCTTAACGATGGTTGCCACCTTAGCGCACCCCTATACTGCACTTCATGGGTGTGCTATACCCCTTACAACATTCTGCGCAGCGCTATAGTCGTAACAACACTGCAACGGCACAACCTGTGTGATGGAGCACTGCCAACAACATCCGTATAATTTTGCATCGGTCCTGCACACCACTTCCCCCCTCCACCTCAGCTTGTGTGAAGCTGTTTAGAAACAAGTCAGCGCCTACCCACACCATGCATGGGCACTGCGGCGTGCGTGGGAACCAAATTGGCGAGGACTGCGCATGTTCCGACAGCAGCGCCATCTGGAATGACGTGACGTCAGAACCCCGCACTGCTGTGCATAGTGAACGCCGTCTATAGTGTACGCCGGCAATATTTCACGCAGGCTATTAAGAGGCAACTTTTCTTTTCTCCCCCTTCGCGAGGAGAGAAATTAGCACCGCTCGTAGTCGGAATGGAGATCTCTGTCTGCCATCGTAATTGGAGGAGGTCCAGTGGGTATATACAAGTCTGCTGCGAGATATGGCTGGCGGGGGACCCGCAGTTATATAATAATGACCGCAGTATTCGCTACAATTCTTTTGTTTTTTTTAATAAGGTCGCGTTGATGATTGACGACGAACCGCGGAACACAAACGTTGGCTGGAGGCATACGTCCGACTTCCCCCCCCCCCCCCCCCGGCGCACGCACGCACTTACAACTTACACACGCGAAAGGCAAACAACGTGCCTTAAACGGCGTCTAAATGTCGCAGGGCGGAAAATGGATTGCGAAGGGAAAATGGCGAATAAGAAGAAGAAAAGAGGTTAATTAGGTCGACAAGACAGGCTAAGAAACGTTGCCGCGAAACTAAATAATTGCGGAGTGAGAGCGAAAGTTGTGTCGCTCGCTCGCGCGCAGTGCACCGAAGTCTTAGAAGAACGCGTCGTCGCCCACCGGAGGCTACTCGTGCGTGAGATTCCCTCGGGTTTGATTTATCGTAAGATATGCCCGAGTTCGCGACGGCATATCTCTGCTCTTAATCTAACGCTATCTGACGTCGCTGTGGGAGAATTGCGTGTGAACCGAATAACTCGCGCATAGCGCTAGTTGAAACTGGGAGCTGTACAGAATCCATGTCCGACTGCCTAAGGGGACATGACGGTCATTGACAAAACGGTTTCGAAAAAAGGTGTCCGCGTCTTCAAGAACGCGCGTTCATGCCCTCGCACTGCAGCTTCGATGTTCGACATTGTATAGGAAGTTCTCGTAGACCGTTGTTTCCCTCCCTCCGTCATGCCACCGGCAACAAAGACGCCGCTACTGCACTTACACGGCACTATACTGCGCGACAACTTTTCTTGGCAATGCAGTGGAAGGTACAGGCCCGCGTCCCCTCTCCCATTTTGAGTGTACGCAGGCTCTCCTCCTCTCCCCGGAAATGGGGGAGGAGGGAAGCCTGCGTACACTCAAGATGGGAGAGGGGACGCGGGCCTGTACCTTCCACTGCACTGCCAAGAAAAGTTGTCGCGGAGTATAGCCTTGTCTGCGGAGTTCCGGATCTCGAACGGGAGTTCCGGAAAGCACCACTAGATGGCGGAAACGATATTCCAAAACTCTCATTAAGACAGCGCACGTGTAGACGAGACTACAATTTCAGACTTCAGCTCACGCCAAGAGGCTTCCACGCAAAATGTCCCATTTTGAACGCGTGGTTCCGTTCCCCGGGCTCTAAGTAAACAACAAAGTCAGACCCGTTGAATGTAAAGCAACTGAATGAAACCACGCTTCAGCGTAACGTAACCTGGTCCATCTCGGTGCCTGCAGCCTGCGTTGCCCGTTGCCGGGAGCTTTCCTTTAAAATCACAAGAAACGCTTTCTTTTTTTGTGTGTGTGTGTGTGTGTGTGTGGAAATTGTAAAGACAGTCCGCGACAAAGAGAAGCGACATCTCCCGAGTTTCACTGCGCACTACCCAAAACTCGGGAAGTCACATTTTTAAATTGTAACGGTCGCCAGTTTTGCGCCCGCTCAACACTATATAAGCGAGCCGAAACGGCGGCAACCGCAGGAAAGTCGGATGTGGAGCCGCGATATTCTAAGCACCTAAGCCACAATCGCGCCGCTCGTCCAACAAAAGACGCGGAGTTTCTCCGCAGACACGATGAGAGAAATGCCTGCGGACACGCCTGGAGCCTGAATATATTAAGCCCCGCCCCGTGTTTCTTCAGCTGTCAGTGACCATGGCACAGCAACGAGCCTTCAAGCAGGAAGGAAAGATGTTTTCTGGATATAATGTAGTTTTTTTGTCTGTTTGTTTTTTGTCTTTTTAGTTTGTTTTTTTAGCTAAGTAAATTTTAAACGCCAGAACAATTTATTACGGTTTGCTGCAACGTACGATTACCGTGAGAAGTTCCGACCACAAGAATCGAAGCACAGCCCAATCAGAATGTCCGCTGTGCCAGTGGCTCTCTTCTCGCAAAACATGGCACAATAGCAGGGTCACAACATCAAGTATAAATTTATTAAAAAAAGGAAACAGCAAGGGTGCATTTTTGCGACCAGAAATTTGGAGACGGGGCTCCTCCTCCTGCACATATCTTTTCCTCAAACTTGGGACTGTAGTGTGTTTCTCTAACATTAAGCACCTTCCAGAAAAAGAGAAGGTGAGACCTATACAGATAAGTAAACCGCTGTCACACTACCAATACATCATGCAAAAAAAACAAAAACAGAAAGAATGTGCCAACACTGTCTGAGGCGAATTTCTTCCCTGTATCATGTCCATGTCACATTGGTGATACGAGAACTGTTTGCAGACATGTTCGTCGCTTCGTATGTATGAAGCGAACATGTTTTGAACGTTCTTGAGGGCGCGTCCGTCTGCTTCTTGCGGAGGAGTTTCGGTGACGCCAGACAGACGCCAAGCTGTGATTGGCTCTGGCTGAAGGATAGTGGGTAGACCTCAAAGCAAGCTACCTTGAGGTCTACCCACTATCCTCCATTCAGAACCAATCAGAGCTCTGCGTTCTGACGTCACCACAACCCCTGCAAACGAAGCAGACGAACTTGCGCTCTGTATTCTCTCATCCTGTCTGTCGCGAACAGCGTGTCTTTTGTACGAGGTACGCGCAGTGTGCGCAGCGGCTTTAATGAACCGGGAAGCGGACAGAATCCGTGCCCCGTTGCGACAAAACCACCAGCTCCGATTCGATTCCGATTAGTCCCCCGTCGCCATATTGCGGTCACGTCCTCCTCCAGCAAACCACCTCAACTTAAAAGCCGCATCTACGACCGTGCGACTGAGCTTTTTAGCCCAGATGGGCGAGTCGATTGTCGACCCTTCCATCCGGTCGCCGAGACACTTGTGTGTATGTACGCGCCCCCGTTGCGCTTGTGACGCCACATCCGTGACTGTCAACTCCGCCATGACCGCCGTTGACGCGCGGGTCCCCCTACGGTCCCCGCAAAGAGCTCGACGCAATGAACCCGGTTTGTTTGTTTTCTTCTTTTTTTTCTCTTTTTTTCTAAACAACACCGACCGAACGTCACCCCGTTCTCCTCCCATCGGCCGGCGTACATGGGCCTTTACACTTCATCTCACCTTACGATGGACCACATCGAGACGCTACGAGCCAAATCCCAGCCAATCCGGGCCTGTGATCGAATCACGTGACTACTCGTCCCGTTCGCCGCTGTCTCCGCTTCAACGCCCCCTTGATTAATCGACGCCAGCGAACGTACTTCCTTTTCCTCCGCGGAACGTCGTCGCAGTCGGATGTCGCTACTCGGCAATCGGACCCGGGGCCGACGCCGAGCGTCGTTCGACGCGTTGATTGGACAAGAGGCCACGCCGAACACTCGCGCCCAATCCGCGTCTTCGCTCGATGTCACTGTGATGACGTCAAAATTCTGGTACGCGCGCTTTGATTATTCGATACTCGTACTCACCGCAAAAAAAAAAAACGTATTACAAAAAAAAACAAAAAAAACTTTTTTGTTTGTTTGTCTTTTTTGCGGAACATTGTTTTTTTACTCTGACGACCAAATCTTGCAAGAACTGCTTCGTGCAGCGCCTGAAGGATGCGCATTTCTCGATGAGACAACGAACGACCTTACTCCAGTCAAATCTTGCGTCACTCCGCTCCTCCCGAATGTCACGTGATAAATACACGTCGTTTGATTGGCTCCGATCACTCGTAGCGTGCACCGAGGTTCATCGTAAGGCAAAACGTAGCGTAACACGTCTTCTGACGGTCTCTCCTCTTCCCCCCGTCGCTCTTGACGGCCCGGTTTTCCAAGACGAGGGCCGACTGCTCGTAGTACCAGGCAAAAACGTCAAATCCTCTCGGATTCAAAGCCGTGAGAACGCGTACTATTGCCCCCTTTTGTTTTTGTCTTTTGGTTGCTTCGCTTTGGCATCGGTAATGGGCCCTGTTTGAAAGCGCATCTGGAGAGTATGATCGCCTGTCGTTGTCGTCGTGATGACCGTATAGCGGAGCAAGACGGGACAAGTTGAGTCTTGCCCAGTCGTGTTTGTTTATTCCCGAAGGCTGAACAGTCTTTCACGAAAATTGCACTCGCTGAAAGACAGATGCAGTGAAAAAGAGACGGGCTCTTTTTCGACGGTTGACACTGCTGCAAGTTGGTGTCCAATTGTCTTTATATTTTTATTTATTTCTTTTACACAGTTTGAATGGTCACGCGTGCGAGAGTTTTACAGACGGGCGCTGCGAGTTCTTCTCTCGGAGCATGGAAACTCGCGTCTGATACGAAGGTCAATCGCGGTCGGCAAATCAGGTCATGCGTCGTCGTCGCGAGTGTGTAGGAGCGTGTGAGCTGAATCGGCGATTGTCCAAACGATATGAATTGTCTATGTGTTTCCCCGGCTGCAATCGATTAGTAGGTTTCTTTTTTTTTCCTTATAATTATCACGACGGGAGTTCTGACAAGGTGCCGATTACTCGAAAAACCTAATCAATGCTTTGTTTATATATATATATTTATTGCATTAAAATATAAAGGGTCTGAATGGCACCGAAGACGTGATCAGTTTGCACCTACACTCTAAGAAATGCCTGCGCGTCTACTTACCCGCAAAACACTCAAAGAGCCATTCTCTGCGATGTAGGAAATCAGCTCAGCGAATGATGAGGCGGAACATCCGTTTAGAACTAAAAATGAAGCCTGCGCTGTGGCATTACGCAATTCAAGCATGACGCTTTGCATTGCGTAGTGCTGCAGAACAGATTTAATTTGGAGGTCTGAACAGATCCCTCATTATGCGTTGAGCTGATTTCGTAGATCGCAGAGATTGGCTATTGGAGTGTTTTGCGGGTAAGTAGACGCGCAGGCATTTCTTAGAATGTATCTGAGCAAAGCTCGTATCACAGGTGAACAATGGGCGAAGCTTTCGAGGTCGCGTACATGTGTACGAAGCAATTGAACATGTCTCGGACACGTGTGAAGCGACACCGCAGTTAGTACCATCGTGTGAGCAGCGAACACCGGGTCTTTTGCGTGATGTACGTATGGGCAGTGGGACCCGGCCCGGCGTTCACAACTTGGAAGTTGTCCCAGACATGGTCTCCGCCACTATATACAGACTGCTCTGATCGCGTAATCTCAAAAAATAAATTTAATTCATTTCCTTGTGAGCCCATGGTGCAACAAAGTGGACAAGGGAAAGCTGCCGCTTCACGAGAAAATGATGGTTCATGGATCCCGAGCTGCCGTTAGAACCGTACGCTCGTAAGCAAACTTGCACGGGGCTCACTGCAAGTTGTCGAGTTATTTGTAATCGAGTACGTTTTAGAGTAATTTTTGCAATCGTTTGAACGCGTGTTGCGGTAACGTCAGGACGACGCCAGTCTCCGATTGGCTTTGATTGAAAGGATAGTGGGTAGACCTCGACGCTAGATGCCTTTAGGTCTACCCTCTATTTTTTTTTTTTTTTTTTTCAATCAGCGCCACAGAACGAAAAGAAAACAATACGGAGCGTATTGTTTTCTTTTCGTTCTGTGGCGCTTTTTTTTTTTTGTTTTTTCTTTCCAAGAAAATTTTGTGTCAAGATTATGAAAGGGGGATGGTTTACCAAAATTAGTAGATTAAAAATATACGTAGTTTATAGTTGGGTGATTATAATCCAGTAGAAAGTACGAAAGACCCGTTTTTAAACCGACAGAAAAATCTGCAGTTTTAAAAATCTGAAGAAATCAGAAAAGTAGCGGTTACTTCTTTTTCAAGTAACGATCAATTACTTTTTCTTCTCTAGTAATCAACTCATCTAACTTAAAATTTTGAATCGAGAGTTATTGTAATTGTAATCGATTACTTTTTTTTTTTTTTTTTCGAGTAACGTGTACAAAACCTCAAGATGCATATTCGACTTCAAGTGGCACAAGGACGGACTCAACAAAATTAAAACGGCAAAGCGTTTCCCCCTGCTTTTTTTTTTTTGTGCCCAGTTTTTACACGCGCTAGAGTTGCCTTCCGTCGTGCTTTGGCTGCGCATGCCTTGTCGAAGCTCACGAGACGCCAAAATGTTATTGAACTTAAGAAAATATTGTTAGAGGTGGGACAACGGAAGGGCTTCCCTGCCTCTCTCCTTCATCCTCGGTGACTACATGCTTTCTGTCACGCGGAAGCGCAAACGATAAGAGTAATTACACAATACCTTCCTATCATTATCATCCTGTCAGTAGTCGTAGTTTATTTCCCGCAGAAGAGCAAAATACAGGAGTGATTACACTAACAGCTTGAGTTCGGCCATCTTTTTGACCGGCCCAGATCTTCCCAGAAATCTTGTTCTGATGCCGCCCTGAAAACGAACGTGCAGCAAGAACTCGCGCGCGCAGGGATGGGAAATACGTATACTCGTGACAACGGCATATTGAGGAGTCGTGAGAAACTGGATCTCCCCAGACATATACCATGTTAGTGACAAGCAGACTTCGAGGAAGGTACTTCCGCCACAGGCGCATAGCGTTCTCCGCACTTACATTCGCTTTTCTTAACGCGTGAGGCGAGCGACAAGCCAGGAATACCTCGCGGAAGTGAGGGCCAATAATCAGTCGGAGGCGAAGAAAATGCCCGTGCCTTATACTTATCCCCGCCAGCGGTGAGGTGTTAGTCTCGGGACAGATGAAGGGGTACGCGAAGCCTGCCCCCCAAGAGATCTCCATCACAAAGTGCCGGTATCTTGATTCAATTAGTTCCCACGACCAGCATGACTATAGTATACGCATGCAACCCATTATGGGGACCGAAGGGGAAATGTGTGCAGTGAACAGTTTACGTTTAGTCCCTTTCCCAGCCCCCCTTTTATTCAGATTGTGAGAAAGAAGCTTCACTCAAAGCGCAAGGTAAGATCCGTAAAACGCGCATGCGCAAAACGCCTTGCGTACCCCTGCTGGGGAACTTCAGAAGACCGTGGTCAGCTCCCGCTTGCAGATTCCACTCCTACGGAGAAAAAGACAAACTCTGAATAGGAGAAAGTCACCTTATGCCCGCAGACTATCGTAGCAGCCATAACCGACAGCCATTAGGCCATTGGTGATTTCTTTAAAGTCGAGAACATTTATAACGATCCAAACGTCCCCTGATAATGACACAAATGAAACCGCGAGCTAAGTGAGGAGAAATAAAAGGTGTCTGTGTAGCCCTCCACATCACTTTTTTTATTTTCTTTTTCGTGTTCAGATGTCGGCTCGGCACCCTAGCGGACGGGACGTGGACTACCAGGACACGGCTCTGGTCGTGGTCTTCGTGAGAGACACTGGGCGAGCACTGCCATTGCGCTTCACCCTGCCTCGAGGTGCCGCTGAGTACAGCTTCCAGATACCAGAAGACGGACCCGAAGCAAGGATCGGTCGTGAGCTAGGACGGGTGTCCCTGGAACGCTCTGACCAGGTCAGTGAAAAACCCCAAACAAAAATACGTCTATTTTTTTTTTTTTTTTTTTCATTTTGCGATTTTACATTACTAATGTTGTAGTTAGAGGTATTGCAGCGTCCAAAGATATCGACGAAACAATACAGAGTGAGAACAGTGCATATCATCTATCAAGGTAAATTATGGCCTCCTTGACTTGCAGTACTAATCTGGACAAAAACAAAGCTTGAGGAAGCAAGCTTTTAGTATGGTACTATGCGCAAGCTACTGCTGCCTGCTGAATGTTTCTAGTAAATTTATTAGTTAAGTACAGGTAGATACTGAACGAGAGAGCATAATAAAATTTCAGCGCTTTTCGATCGCTAAGAAGCCCGTGCCCTATGAATTAAGTTAAATATAACCTATCAAATGTGAAAACGGTCCAAGCAATTTTGTGCCGCACAAACTGGAACTGAAACTGTGCACTGAAACAGTGCACAGTTTCCGAGTCCGAGTCCGAGTCCGAAATTTTCTTGAATCTTATCATTCCCTGGACTCCTTTCGCAGACCTCAGTCTTTGGGTTTTCATATGTTCCATAGGGATGTATGCGGAACGCAAGCTCGTCTGCCTCTTGCACAGGATTTACGATGATGTTAAAACGCCAAGCTCTTATTGGCTGATCAAAAAAAAAAAATAGTGGGTAGATCTCAAGGCACTTAGCATTGAGGTGTACCCACTATCCTTTCAATGAAAGCCAATCAGAGCTCGGCGTCGCTCTGACGTCACCACAATCCCTGCGCAAGAAGCAGACGACTTGCTTTCCGCATAGCCACCAACAGCTTAAAGAAACGATGGGCGTGTCGAGTCCCGAGCATCTGATCATTGCTCCGCAGCCAATCAGATTACTGCGTTAGCCGATAAGAATGTCGAAGAGCCAATCACATTGCAAGAAACATGAACATTATGTGCCACGCCCTTTGTTTCTGGAGCTGGCTGGGACTACAGGTGCTCGGTCCTTCTTCAGAGTTGCATTTCGGTCGTCTGCTTTGCCAGGTGGACCGTGCACGCTTTTCCATCGTGGACGGCGACCCCCTGGGCTGGTTCCGCCTGGACCCCGTCACCGGCGTCCTGACCACCGCGGCGCCATTGGACCGCGAGCGCAACGCCCGTGTCACCCTCACCGTAGTCGCCAATACGCTGGCCTTCTTCACCCGCGCAAGCGTCGCCGTCACCCTGGGAGATGTGAACGACAACGCGCCCCGGTTCGCACGCCCGTTGGTTAGGCTTAGCGTGGCGGAAAGCTGGCCCACGGGACTGGAACTCTACGTGCCGGAGGCGAGCGATCCGGACGACGGCGTCAACGCCGACCTCGAGTTCCGCCTGGAGTCCGGACCCGCGGCCCTATTCGGCGTGGATGCTCGCACGGGCATGGTGCGGCTCCTGCGACCTCTCCGGACGCAGGCGGGCAAAGAGTTTGCGCTCGAGTTGGCCGCTTCGGACCGTGGCCAGCCACGCCTGAGTTCCAAGCAGCAACTGCTCATCAGGGTGAGTGCTCCGACCCGGTAACTTCGTTAGCTTCCCTGGGAGTTTGTTCTTATCGAAGGATGATCCACTTAAGTTCTTCTACGACCGTGTGGTAAAGCAACAGACCATATGTGTTCCCCTCGGACGTGCCATCCTAAAGCCGCGGTCAAACTGCCCACACATCATGGTCATGGACATTGGTCATGCAATAGTCGTCTGCAGACTTGTTATGCATGAAAAAAACATGCTTCCAAAATTCTTGAGGCGTGTCCACAGACGATTCTGTCATCACGTCCCAAGTAAACACCCCGTCATTTGCATGATGTATGTGCAGTGTAACTGCAGCTCTAGGGGAGAGATGTAAAGCCACTGCTGGACCGTATAGCCTCCCTTTACAACGGGAAAGCAACGAACGCCGTCATAATTGATCGCGTCTTGTCGATGTAGACCCCCTTGAACCAGAGGGCAGATAGATGCACCAAGCAGCTTTGACAGCTTGGTTCTTATCGGGCACTGTAGTGGCTCCCAAGGCAATGCCCCCCCCCCCCCCCCCCCCCCCCCCACTGGGCAACACAGATGTGACGTGTCCCTCAATGGGACACGACACCGCTACGTTTCAGAGGAGCATATGGACCGCAGTGGCTCATGGTTTTATCGCAGTTTATGAACCCGATGAACTGTGGTTCATGGGGTTCGTGTATGGTTTTAGACCTTAGCAACAGAGCACAATTCATGGGGTTTATGGTTAATTTTAGGCCTCAGTAACCGAGCTCAGTTCGTGGGGTTACTGGCCGGTTTTAGGCCTCAGCAACAGCGCACAGTCCATGATGTTCATGGTTGGTATTAGGCCTATTAACAACAGAGCACAGTTCATGGGGTTTATGGTTAGTTTGAGGCGTTAGCAACCGGGCACAGTTCGTTAAGGCCTCGGAAATAGAGCCCAGCTCATGGGGTTCATGGTTGGTTTCAGGCGCTAGCGAGCGAGCAGTCAGTTTTTGCATGTGTTCAATGATGGCGCGCAGGTGGAAGACGTGAACGACCACACGCCCACGTTCGAGCGTCCATCGTACGAGACGTCGCTGCTGGAGCTGACGGCCGTCAACGAGCGCTTCTTCATGCTCAGGGCGTCTGACGCCGACTCGGGAGAAAACGGCAGGGTCTCCTACGAAATCTCCGAAGGAAACCAGGTACGTCCGAGATTCACCCTGGTTTAGACGCGCTGGAAAGTAGTCCGAACCAAAAGGTCTGAACTTGCTGGACATCATTTGCGATGGCTGACATCATGGAACCTACATATATGACACGGTATGCTAGCCCTGTATTTTGTGTTGTGCGGTGGTTTATATATATATATATATATATTCACTACGGTTGGCTCCATCTTCTTCCGCTAGTGGGAGAGGGGATCAAGAGGCCGTGCCCTTACAAGATGTGACGATATACGAGCATTTCAGTGATTCCCTTCCTGGTCAACAAGGCCGTGTTGCTGAATTTTGCAGCGTCCCCTAACGAGGCAAACGCAGGGTACGGGTTAAGCACGAGTTCTGCGTCAGCCGTTCGGCTGACGCCCGTGTCTTCATTGATTGGACACGACTCTCGGCCGATCGCTGACGCAACGCTCGTGTTCAAACAGTGCCCTGCGTTTGCCTCGTTAGGGGACGCTGCAAATTCGGCAGTACGGCCTTCTATAGCTTATCTGGGAGGTGCTGTCACAGCCCGCTTGTGACATATCGCACTTTGCTTTTCCTCCCCACGCCCGCGTGGTTTGATTTTAGTGGACGTTACACCGGCGTGCGGGCGTGTGTCACTTTCGCGTGGCGCACGTTAAAGACCGTAGTGGTACTGCTCTCGTTAAATTTTTTCATCTCCTGCGGAAACAGCTGACGTGCCAATCGGGGGCTGACTGACCTCCCTCTGTATAAACGTACACACAGCGCAATTATTCAGCGCCACGGCTTCGTCGCTTTGTTTTCTCGAAGGTACTGTCACAACCCGTGATAATGCTTTCTGATTTCTCTCTTCCGTCAAAACCAGGAGGGGCGCTTTGGCGTCTTCCCCGACGGCGCGGTGTACGTGAAGAAGGCCCTCGACCGCGAATGGCGAGACCTGTACGCCCTGACGGTGGTGGCCCGCGACAGCGGCGACCGTCCGCGCTCTTCGGCCGTCTCCCTCCTCGTGCACGTCCTCGACGAGAACGACAACCCGCCCGTCTTCGACAACGCCACCTTCGCTTTCTCTCTGGCCGAGAACGAACCGCCGGACACGCACGTCGGCAAGCTCAGCGCCGACGACGGCGACCGAGGCCGCAACGCCGAGCTCACCTTCTCGCTGGCGTCGAACGAGAACGACTTCGCCGTCGACCCGAGGACCGGGTTCGTGCGGACGCTGCGCTACTTCGATCGGGAGAAGCTGCTCGAGCTCACCGGACACGACACCATCACAATGGACGCCGTCGTGCTCGACTCCGGCATCGCCAGGCTGCGAGGGGAGGCAAAAGTAAGTGACTCGGCGATTTTTGTTTTCATGGAAATAGTTGCGTTTGTACACCTTTTCAGCGCTTATCATCCAGGTGAAAAACACCAAGTCACTGGGCTGTGGAGGGATGCTAGTCGTCTAATATTCTATAGAAGAAAGCTACTGCTCATGTTCAGAACGTGTTCAGCAGTACAATAAACAAAGGTCAGGTATATCCGGTCGGGTGGACCCGACCGCATATTGGGGAACTCAAAGTTCACACCCCGGCACCGCAATTTTTTTTTTTTTTTTTTAGACTTTGTACATTTTGTTTTGTTCGATCAATTATGGTTCGTTCATTTGCACATATTCGAATATTTTCTAGTAATGTCATTTACACATTGCAACACGGTGCCCATCTTTCTACAAGAAACCTCTCGGTGTAAGCGCGTCCGACCGACAGCCGAAGTTTCGCTCAACTTATTTTCTTCTTAGACTGGCAGCGAGCCCTAAAAAACTGTCTTTTAACAACTTTTTTTTTGGGAGGGTAGGTTTTTTTATTTGTTATTGCCTTTATGCTCATTTACAACGTCCGCAAGTTGATTTGCGGAATCCAATTCCGATGTTATGAAACTCGCGTACATAGTGATATTTAGTAGTGATTAAATCTAAAAAAAAAAGGAAACGGCCGTGCGTAAAAATTGACCTCACATGACGGGTGGAAAACTCTTTAAAGCAAGAGAAGAAAACAATTGAAAAGGTTGAGAGAGTTACAAGAAATTTTTATCGTTGTAATTAAGTAGGAATTCAATATATTAAAAAAAAAGGAAACACCCGTGCGTACAAATTGTCCTCCCATAACGGAAAAGAAAGAAATCGAAGAGGTTAAGTGAATTACAACACAAAGATTTTTTTTTCAGCAATTTCGAGATTTCAAGTGATATTTGCATAGGTTTCTAGAGATGGGCATCTCGCCTAAAACCACGTTGAGTCAAGAAGACCTCTAAATGTCCAAGCTGTGTTGAACGTCACACAAATAAAAAATAACTTTTTTATATATAATAAAAACGTCAAGTTCCGATGCTTTAGCGTCCCCTGTTCTTACGACTAGCAGATCTCAGGTAGGGTCTGACCATTCGGCAATACGTAGTTCATTATTTTGCACTAGGGAGAAAAGACTGATCTCTTTGCTCGTTTCTCTATCATGACAATGTAAGCTGCAACAAACCTACGTACTTTCGAGGTTTTAAAGGAGATTTTGACCAAACTAGAGCTAAAACGCAAAGCCTCCTCTTTTTTTTTTTTTTTTTTTTTTTTGCAAGCTGATGATAATCGAGTTTCCGGGAACCCTCAGGCGTATAACAAAAAGCGAAACCGGGTGTTGCAGCTCATATTTTTCTGGACGGTACTTGACGCGTGCCACTTGTCCGAATAATCGAACCCGAACTTTCAGGTTCTGGTGAGGATCACGGACGTGAACGACAACGCTCCGGTGTTCTCCCGGCCCAACTACCGTGCCAGCGTGTCCGAATCGGCGCCACTACGCAGCGCCGTGCTCCGCGTCAGCGCCACGGATGCCGACCAGGTGAAACATTCGCTCGCCGCACAGCACCTGCCTCCCCGTCGTATAATTCCGGAGCGCGCGCTGTCCCCGCGCGAGGCCCTGTCATTATCCCCCTAACGCACCATGATCACCGCGGCGGCGTCACCATTATCGCAGCGCGTACCGTTTGCGCAAGAATTCGATTTGCATACACGCCTCGGCTTCCAGGAGAGATCATGTATTCAGGAATGGCGAAAGACCTCTTTTTGTTCTAGTTGTTGCCGTTAAATCTTGAAACGCTTCCGGTGGAGATATCACTTTGGAACGGTCTCGTTTGTTCTTTCTTTTCTCGCGTTGCACCCCCCCTACGAGAACGAAGTGTATATCTTTCGGTGAATTCGCGCCCTTCATGCGCTACAAATAAGTTATAGTATACGTAAGAGGGCGAATAAAAAGCTGAGTTGCATATCTGTATAAAACACGAAAATGAAGAGATGTACTTATTTGCGTTCGTTTAAAGGTACATTTTCTTATTTTTATTTCCGGCATATTCATCGAAAGAATGTAAGCGCTTTTTAGAATATGTGATTAACTTCTACGTTAAGATCATCTGGCGGGCTATAGTTGGTTGTACATGTTCATATATTAAAGCGAAAAACGACGAGGAAGTTTTGCGCTTTAGTATATTAATAGCTTCTCCATACCCGCACAAAACAAAAAGGCCCCTTCTGGTTCTTTAAATAATTAAAAGCGCCGAAAAAGACAAGGACAAAGAAGTGGAACGACACAAGGCGCACTCGCAACTGTGGTTTTATTTTGAAAAGTACATGCATTTATGGGCCCCAGAACCCTGTTAGTCATCAGCGTGTCCCTCGCTGTTACTTCCCTCAAATATTCAAACTCACTCTTTGACAGGGCGAGTGACGCTTCACTTGCACACTCAACGCCCTTATCCCTAATTGCATATGCCTCATGCACCTCTCTGCTTGTTCGGTCGCGATAACGAGCACTTCTTTGTCCTTGTCTTTTTTGGCGCTTTTAATTATTTAAAGAACCATGAACCAACTGGCTCAACTTTCCACTTTGCTGCCCCTCCTGGTTTTGCGCAACCTAGGCTTGTCAAACCTGTAGTGTTCGCGAAAGTTTCTAATTTTATGAACCTATCACTTTCAAAGAAATCGTATGGTTTATAGATATTCACAAGTATTCACAAGTATGCTATGGTGAACATTTACCTTGTCCCGCATGATGGAGGAAATGTACAGTGCACGAAACTGTTAGCGCGAACACGACATTGACGCGTTTCTGAATTTCACTGGGAAAATTGGCGGGCGCCAAACTTATCAGCTTAGGTTATTCCCATAAATGATCACCTTTTACCACATTAGTGCTTTTGATGACAGACCTTTTATGTTTAGGGTAAAACGAAAGAAACCGGCGACCGCTTGTTCGCGCTAACAGGGTGGCGCAGTGTACTTCAAAACATTATGTGGCTATGTAGTCAATGGTATACGGCAGCGCGTTCAGAAGCGCCGACTAAAGTTGTGCACGCGCACTTTTTGGTTCAGTAGAGACAGACGCAGATGTACAGTACAGTACAGATGCAAACAGTATGAACAGCACAGACAGACGCAGATGAGACTGGGTGAGACGCTCAAACCAGTCAACTTCGCAATTAATTTCATAAAAAGAAAACAAACCAAGTATAAAAAGAAGGTATTGCGTCGCCCACTATGGGTCACGCGTTCTCCAACAAACAAACACGCGAGCCTTTCTGCTTCCGTCCTCAGCTCGGTTCGTCTGGAGGTCAACTGGTCATTGTTCGCCGAATACACACACGCCGTCTCGCCGTGCTAATACGTTGCGCAATCTTGCCAACGACAATCTCGCGGACATCGTGCACTCTGCAGGGTCCCAACGGTGACGTGCTCTACGCCATCGCCGACGGCAACCAGGAAGAGAGCTTCGCCATCGACGAGGCCACAGGACAGGTCATCCTGATGGCCCCGTTGGACCGAGAACGCACGGGCTCCTACACCCTGACCGTGATCGCCAGGGACACCGGGGCGAGAGTGCAGCACACGTCCACGGCTACGGTGCTCGTTCAGGTGCTGGACGAGAACGACAACGCACCGGAGTTTGTACCAGGACCGCTCAGGGCGGATGTTCTCGAGACCACTGCCGTGGGCTTCGAGCTGCACCGCTTCTCGGCCATGGATCGGGACCTGGGGATGAACGGAGAGGTGGCGTTTGCCATCGCCGCGGGGAACGTCAAGGAAGCTTTCAAGGTGGGTTACGAATGCTTGTTGAAGTTTCGTTAAGCGGTTCGTTTACACTGGGTGTAGACACTTGGAAGCAACCAAAGTAGAATAAACGGGGAAAGGGCCGACAGAAGCCAGCGTCTCAAACTCAGCGAGCTAAGTTGGAGACTTTGGAGACGTTGGAGGTAAAGTAAAGGGGAGTGAGGAGGGGAACATTGAGAACCCAAACATATAGAGTGCGTCACTTTTTCTTTTCATGGTTATAATTATTTAATTTTTTTTTTGCTCCATCTGTTTGGTTTGAAGGCCTTTATAGTCACTCGCAGGATCAGAAGGGCAGGGTGGTCTTTCAGTTGTACCACCTCCAGTACAAGCCTCTTACCTTTGAAAAGACTTTGGGGTCTCGTGAGCGTTGAGCATGCACGTGCAGCCAAAGCACGACGGAAGGCAACGGAGGATCAGAATGGCAGGGTGGTCTTCCAGTTGTACCACCCCCAGTACGAGCCTCTTACCTTTGAAAAGACTTTGGGGTCCCGTGAGCGTTGAGCATGCACGTGCAGCCAAAGCACGACGGAAGGCGACGTGCGCGTGCTGGAGGCCGGGCTTTCGATAGAGACACGTCGTCGTTCTCATCGCGACATGAGTACGCATACGTGCTTGCCGGACTAAAAATAATTCAGCACGCTAAAAATGCTGCTCCCCTTTTTTTTTATTATTTTTATAATTATTTATTTATTTATTTATTTATTTATTTACACGAGTTCCATGCCAACGGCCCCTTCGCTTAGAAAAAATAAAAGCGTGCGGATGTTACCCTGGTGTTTCCGTCTTGGACACGCGCGGCCCCTCATTCGACATCCCGTGTGGTAGGAGTGCGGTGCCACCAGTGCGAGAACGCAGCACGGTTGAACAACAAAAACTTCGTAGCCCTCTTGTAACTTTACGGTTAAAATCAGAAGACTGGCTTTCTGGCACAAAGTTACTGCAGGAAAAAAAACGTTGAACTAATCTCTTGTGCCGTTTTGTGTAACATCGTGTTTTTTTTTTGTTTTTTTTTTGTTTGTTTGTTTTTGCTCTGTTTTCGGCCACTCGTTGTAGAGGATTAAAGCGCTCAAAAAAAACCGGCAAGTAAAACAATGAAACACACCAAAAAGAGCTTTCACTTGAAAGCGTAATGAGGTGTTCTTCTTTCGCGATATTTCACTTGTTCGTCGTTTCTTAGCGTTTTTATCCTCTACGAGGAATTAGCAAGTAGCCCAAGTACACACCTGTTTACACTTCGGTCACTCTTTTTTTTTTAATTTACGGCTTTACACATCTTCGCGCCTTGTTTTATCTTTCTTTAATTGTCCGTTATCAAGCTAAGTGCGTAATCACTCTTCAAGCGTGCTACCGTGTCCAGTGATCCCGATAAGCGAGCCCCCACTCACCCACAAGGCTAACCCTCGCAGGTGGACAGCGTTACCGGGGCACTCTTCCTGGACCGTCCACTGGACTTCGAGCAGCAGAGCAGCTACACGCTCAACATCACAGCCAGCGACGGGGGCTCGCCCCGTCAGTCCAGCGCCCTCTCCTTCTCCGTGCGCGTCCTGGACGTCAACGACAACCCGCCCCAGTTCGCCAACGTCGCCATCGTTCGCCAGATCGAGGAGGGCCTCCCCGTCGATACGCCGGTGGTCACCGTCACAGCCGTCGACCGAGACTCCGCGGCAAACGGCAGGGTCACCTACCAGATTACGGGTCAGGAACCACCAGGGGCCCATTTCACGGTGCGTCCAGACACGGGCGTCGTGCTGACGGCGGCCGAAATCGACCGCGAGTTCAGCGACACCTTCAAGCTGACGCTAACGGCGACGGACCAGGGTAACCCAGGCCTCTTCTCCCACAAGACGGTGACCATCATCGTCGAAGACGTCAACGACAACGCGCCCGCTTTTGTGTCTGTAGACGCGGGCGTCCTACCAGAAGACTCGGACAAAGGGTACGTGGTCATGAAACTGGAGGCCGTTGACGTGGATGCCAACGCCAACGGCCAGGTGACTTACGAGCTCGTGGACGGTGACAAGACGTTGTTCTCTTTGGATCGCGTCACCGGGGAGCTGTCCCTAAACCGGGCCGTGGGCAGGCCAGCTGTGTCGTACTCGCTCGCCGTGCAAGCTTCTGACCAGGCGGTACCGTCGCAACGGAAGACCTCCAGGGCTCAGGTGACAGTTCTTGGTGCCAGCAAGAGACCGCAGGCGGCGCCGACCTTCTCGGCTCCGCAGTACGCGGCATCGGTGTTCGAAAACGAACCGGCGGGGACCAGTGTTCTCGCGGTGCGTGCGGACGCCAAGTCCGATGCGCGTGTACAGTTCTTCCTGACGTCTGTGAGGAGTGCTGGTGCGGCGACAGGACGCCGGTTCGCGGTCCATCGCGACACCGGGCTCGTGACGACCGCGTCACCCTTGGATAGAGAGGCCGGGAGTGACGTCTTTCAGCTAGAAGTGCTCGCTGTGGACGCCGCATCCAAGGTACCCAGGACTGCCAAGGCAACGGTGAGTTACGGCGATCTATCATTTTTGCAATATCCGCTTCACTGACTCAAGGTGATCGCGCCACAAACGAGAGCTCATGGTTTCTCAGCGCTTCAGCTGCAAGAGTGAAGACATAACCAGAACACTAGTCGCTGACAACCTAACAAACGCAAGGCGTATTTTGTCCACGCTTCTTGCCTTGTTCTTTTGTGTTATTATCGGATAATGCCGCAAGCTAATTGGCTGTGGGCGAATGATAGGGCGCTCAGGGCTCGCCACGTCCCGCCTTTGTTAAGTTGTCACTTACTATAACTAGATGAGTCTACGCAACCTCGATATTTTTCTTCGCCTGCAAATTCCAGCGCTTTTCTCCCAACCACTCTTCACAGTGTGGCCAGCGAACAGTGTAAACGTTTGCTGTCTCCCGAAATTTATCAGGGCCTCGCGTTTTCACCGAAGGATGCAGTCGATTTTGCAGGCGTCGCCGCAGTAAATTTTCTTCACGTCACTTTTTTTTCTACGCAACGCTGCTAAGCTTGCAGCTTCGGCAGCACTATTGCCCTCTTTTCGGTTCAGCAGTGCCATGTCACGCGTCGGGGAGGTTTGGGTTGAGTGGAAACCCTATTTGGAGGAGCACTGACGGCTGCGCGTGCCGTTAGGTCTTATAATTGGCGCGAAGTACTGGGAGGCCCATGCATCTCCGCGCGCGGAGACTCGACTGTGATGAAGATGAACAGAGTAATAAAATAAACGTTCATACGGAAATGTACTTTTAACTAAAATAAAAACACAAGCTGGACGGGTGGTCGGGACTTTGAGCGGTGCATGTATACTCTAAAAAATAGTAATGTTTCGGATGCTTTCGGATGTGTTACACCAACACCACCTAGTAGACAGAAGGCCTCCGCACGGATCATGACTGTCAGATCAATCGAGGCGTGAAATTGGGCACGAGTGCTGAGTAGTGTTCGGCTGGGGCTCGCGTCCAATCAGCGCGTCGAAGGTCGAGCTCGGGCCCAATAACCGAGTTAGCGCGATCTGACTCTGATGACGCTTCATAGAGGGAGAGGAGACCCTGCGGGGAGGCCTTGTGTCTAGGTGGCGTTGGTTACGCACACGGCTCACTCATGCACACTCTAAAAAACGCCCGTGCGTCTACTTTCCCGCACAACACTCGGAGAGCCAATCACCGCAACTTACGGAGCAGCGATGACGATGCCGAAATATATGTTTAGACCAAAAAACGCAGTCTAAGTTGTGACTTTAAGCGATGCAAGACGTCACGCTTGCATTGCTTAATGTCATCACTCAGACTGCGTTTTTTGGTCTAAACGTATGTTTCGGTATTGTCATTCCCTGAGCTGCCTCCGTAAGTTGCGGTGATTGGCTCACCAAGCGTTGTGCGGGAAAGTAGACGCACGGGCTTTTTTTAGAGTGTATACTCCTCCGGGGTTTACCAGAAGAATCGAGACAAGTTTAGGTTTATTCCGACCCGGTCACTTCTTGAGATTACGCGGGGAGCTATGCTTCGTCATTCGGAAGCCAGCTGCGCACACCGACATTTATCTACTACCGCAGGCTCCATTCAGTTATACTTGCTCAGGCTGCTTGTTCTCCCGTTGAACTCCTACTATATGAGCAAAAGCGACGGGTGGCAGATCGCACGGTCCGGGGTTTGATTCCGCAGCGCCGGTGGGTAAATCTCGGTAACTATGATAAAGTGTGATTCACGTACGACTATGTATATGTCTTCTATATGCTCTTTAAACTTTCTATGGGCTATGTAGGCTTCGTGTTGCCTTGGCCTGCGTGTAACGGCTTTTCATTACTACTCGAGCTTAACGCTTTTCGCATAAAGCTTTCTGCTTATAAACCACTGTTGCGTTAAAACGCCCGCATCTATATATGCTGCTCTGGGATGCACCCTGACTATCGATCACTAATTCAGCTTTGATCAGCTTAGCCAGAGGGGACTGCGAGATTTATGAACGCCTCTTCGATAGCAAGTTCCATAGTGGTAGATATTCCTCGCTATCTCTCAAGTGCCGACTCTGTCCACTCTCCCGTGTTCCCGGCGTCACATCAATGCGATGTCGCTGCTCGTGAAAACAGAGCACGCGTAAATTCTTCGTTCTTGAAAAAAAAAGTGTTTTCTACGCATGCGCCCTACCTACAACTCTTTTGAGCAGACGCGCTTGCTTAGGAAGTTATAATACATGTCACTCGGTTGATTTGTAGCGCCCCAATGGCCATAAACCGAGTGCCAAAAAGAAGATCGACGCCGTATGGCCACTGTGAGTGCGCGGCCGTTGGAGCGCTTTACCACTGCCCCTTCACTCTCTTAACTGATAAAAGGGTGATAAACGATTATAGTCACTGATAACCTAAGGAACGCAGGGAGTGGCCAGTCCCGAGCCTCTTAATATCGTTGCTCACTCAACGAGATTGCGGCATTGGTCGACAAGAACACCGCTGTAGGAATCATAAAGCAAACACCTGCCGTAAGTATACTAAAACCATTTTCTTTTTAATGGGCGCAAGATTTAGGTTTAATCTCCCCTCCTCCATAGATCGCGACAAGCTGCCTTCCACCATGTGCTCTGCAAGATGAAAAAAAAAAAAAAGAGAGACAAAAAGCATAAGAAGAAAAAAACGCGTGTACCGCCGAACTGCCACAGATTTCCCTCCCATCGGCCCGCCGCTTCCTCGTTCGTTGTTCCTCGGCGGCGCGTCAGCATAAACTCGTTTTGCCGCGTTTCGTCATCGCGCGCGCGCTCTCGGCCGATTAGACGTGTAAAGGCGGTCAATGGCGTCCACGATGCCGAGGCAACACCGGAAAAATTACAGCGTTGTAAAGACGGTGCGCGTCGACAAAAAGGAACCGACGAAGAAGGACAGGCAGCGAGAGGTCGGTAGTCGGCAGAATTCCGAAATGGGGGGACTGTCTCACGTTTATATTGGCTCTACGCGAAGGGAAGGATGGGATGGATTGGTGGCCGAGCTTGGAAGGCACGCACCGCGCAGAATCCATGGGGACCGTGGGTTTTAGTCCCCGCCCCCGCCTGTTGCGATCCGAAGGAGCATCGCAACGGCGTGCGGTAGTGTATCACTACTGCTTGACGCACATTAAAGTCGCCAAGCTATACTCCCACGCTATACAGGCTGAAGGGACCAATCATAACGCGTCAAAAGTGCCCCATCACGGTGTTCGTCATGTTTCTGTACGTGTCATATCATCGCTAAACCAATCATAAACAGAAAAGTTCCAGTGACTTGCACTTTTGACACTGCTTGATTTTCCCATTAGCTCGCAGAGTCGTAAAGCAGTGGTGCTGGACTGGCCAAATTTCTTATCTACAGCGGAGACATCACACGCACACTGGGGCTGGCTAACTTCTCGCTGTTTAAACGAGCACACAACACAAATATACTGGCTACAGGTGTAGGGACTGTTCGCGACCCTCCTGGAGCCCGCGGCGACCGTAAGGCATCCTCCTGTGCGGTCACTTCCAGTCCTTGAGCTTTTTTTTATTTTTTTTTTTTATCGTTGTATAGCCGAATGGGAGCTACAAACCTTACGGCAACAACGCGGCGCCCTGTAGGGCGAAGAAAGAAAAACGAACTTTGCGAGTGAGCGCCCTCCCGCCGTGTTCGGATGGCACATCGGCAAGGACACGTGCATCGCCCCGGGCGCTGTGTACCGCGAGAAGTCTTGCTTGGCAGGAACTGGCGTCCTCTATTGTTCGAAATCGGTAAAGTACGCAAAGAAGAAGCAAGAAAACCCATTTTCTGCCTGGTATACGTCAAAGGTGCCGCCTCTTAACCTGGTCCCCTGGTGTTCGCCGTGCACGACGGTATATACGAGATAACCGCTTTCCGAAGAGCCAGACAGCAGAGATGACCGTGTATAGCTTCCCTAACGTTCGAAGCCGGTTTGAGCGTTTCCGTGGTGGTGAAACCGCCGGATCAGATACGTGGCCCACCGGGAGTGCATGTTGGAGTGTCTAACTACGTCTAACGACCGCGAGATGTGGTCAAGTTTGATAAGGTTTTTCGCTTTGTCGTACGACAACTAACTGTGCGGATGGTCTTCATCGCTGTAAAGTCTGGGTGTACAGTAGCGACAACGTTTAGGGTGTGGTGTGGCTTATTGTCTCCAGATTTGTCGGGTCGTGATTAGATCTGCCGATTGCGACGTTATTACCGATTAAGAGCACAATCTTACTGGCCGTGGAACGGTTAGAAGGCTCTTCACGTTTCTTCAGCTTTCGGTGTTGTAATGCTAGTATACCTTAGTACAGGAGTGGCCATGCTCTGAATTGCGTCTCGGCGACGATATTGAACTAGGACTTTTGCTGATTCCGTGTACACAGCGCAATGTTCACTTTGACAAAATAAAAGCCTCGGCTAGGTTAATAAAAAAAACGTTTTAGACGATATGTGCGAGCATTGACGTATACCCTTAACCATAGGCGTAAACTCTGGGGGGCATCGGGGCTCGTGCCTCCCCTGGTGAGATCCGGGGGGGGGGAGGGGGGGGAAGGGAAGGGAAGGGGGGAAGGGGAAGCAGATCCCCCCCCCCCCCCCCCCCGGGCCCGGGCCATGATCCTTACCGAGACGCTGTTTACGTGCCATGTAACGAGCTTCTATATTAGTGGCATGTAAACAAAACAATGCCCACGCTGCCTTTTTTGGCAAAATACAAGGGAAATGGAATCCCAGCGTGCTTTCGTTAGCTTCAATCTCCAGTTCTGGCGAAAAGGTAACGCGCAGCCCCCCCCCCCCCCCCCCCCCCCCCGGAGAACTTCTCAGCCTGCCCCCCCTCCGTGAAAATGGAAAGTCTACGCCGCTATCCACTTTCTGCTTATCTTGCTCGCTTCACTTCGTCAGTCTAGCCACTCGAGAGGTCACTGGCTCTCTATAAACATCACGGCTATCACATCACCAAGGCAGCCTTCGTGTGAGTCAGTCATTGCCAGTGTCGACTGTTCGACATCCCGTAGACAAGATAAGGTCAGTAA